TAGCAATTATTATTAATAATAATATTAATTTTAATCTTATGTAGGCACATTTTAAGCATAAACGTATGCATAATCAAAAGATTTTTAAGTTTTAAATGTGGAAAATATTGCACATAATTATAAATAGTTTATAATAATACTACTACTAATAATAATACAAATAAATTATTGTTGTTGTTGTTGTTGTTGTTGTTGTAGTACACTTTTTGTTATCATTGTACAATAATAATAATAATAATAATAATCATTTCAATAATCAATAATAATAATCAAACCTTTGTTAATCATTATAAAAGATTAAGCACAAACATTTTCGCATAATCAAAAGGTTTTTAAGATCTTGATAAACATTTTAATCAAATTTAACCAAATTGTTCAAGTATGTCCAAGTTTTTGACTGCTAGTGTTTACTTTAACACTGCATAGACACCTTGTCTATGTTTATTATCCTGTGCACAAATATTTTTCCAAATGCATTCTGTTCATATTCAGTATACATTGTTTATTTTAAATAGCTTGTATTTACACTCAAAGCCAGCTTCATGTTGTGTTAGTTAACCTATATATCAGGTATATCAGTCATGTGGAAGAAGGTGAGTATGTGTTAGAGATTGACCTCAGGTCATGTCAGACAGCAGTGCAGATGTGTGACAGTGTGTCAATCTCATGCATGGCTGCTTGTGCTACACTCAACCATTTGTTCACTAACAGTGTCTGTAGTACAGCCCTGTGTCTCTAACTGCGCCGCCCATTTGATTTACAGCTGTAAATCTCTAATTACATTTCTCACCTTGGATTGATACTGTATGTTTTTAAAAACATACATCCACATTGTTACACGCCATTTGATTCTTGTACTGTACATCAAAGCCATTGACATTTACAAGGTTATAGAGAAGGTACTTAGTCTTAATAGTGGATTTGCCCTGAGATTTGGTCTCATAGCGGTATTTTGCTGTAGGATTCAATAGTTAAAGATTGTGAGGTTTACAGCTGAACGTGCACTTGTACATAAAGACCTCTAGGCTGTTTGTGTGGATGATTGTACAGTTACACAACCACAAATCTGGCAATCATTATATCGGACTGAATGTGATCCATGTTGGATAAATGTCCCAGATTTGAGTCGGTTACAGCAGACTTCATAAAGCTTAAGGTTTGCGCGCATGTATTATCAGTTTGTGTGATGAAAAGAGTCTGTTGTTTCCTCCAGCTGCCTAAAGAGACAAAGTTCAGTGTCTACAGTCTATAAACCTTTAAAACCTAAAGGAGATTAACATAAATATCTATCGTATGTATTATGTGATTAGTTGGACTTTACTTCAGTGTATTTATTTTTCTCACATTTTTACTATTACATTATAAATAAATAAATTTTTTCGTTCTTGATCCTAAAGTAGTATAAGACGTTAATTGTATTCCATTGGTTGTGTGAATGTGATATACATTATATGTTGTCAGAAAGCTTCATCAGTCCTACCTTTTGTAATGTGAATTGTACTGTAGCTTTGCCAGTTTTACCTGTGCTGTATAGTGGTTGTTCAGTATGAAATGATAAAAATAACATTTATTCTTCCTTGATCCTAAAAGAAATTACCTGTTGTTTGGCTGCTTGGTTGTTGAATTGTGTTCCTGTTTATTAATGGAGTTACAGAGCAGCATTCTTTATAGCTAACATTAAATGCATTAACATTTAATGCCTTGTTTTAACCCATGGCTTTATTTATCTTCTCCTCCCTCTCTCTTCATCCATAACCTCTGCCTCTTCCTCACAGTAATGCGCCCACTTAGCATGTCTGTCAGTTTTGACTCATCAGGTAAAGACTTCACTGTGGCTTTACCGCTTTCAGCTCACTGACCCTGTGGCTTCTGTGTTTGTGCCAGACCCCTGTAGTGGCTCCTACCCTCATGTCACGCTCCTCTGGTGGTGGGGTTGTGGCATTGAACCTGTTAGTCCATAGAGGAGGAAGGGGACAAGGCAGTGCCTCCAGTCTTGAAGAAATCCCTCTTACATTAACATGACAGCATGTCTGTGGATTGAATTCTTCAAACATTACTTATTTAGTTAGGGTTAGAATATGCCACACAACTTTTGCTCTTGATTTTGTTCACAGATTTTTGGTCTGGACGAGTCAACAGTGGAGATTTTGGACCTGTCAGAATTGACAGATTTATAGAAAATCGTGTAGTGTATGATAGGCACAGACTTTGATTGTTTTTAGCTTCAGACTATTTCAACCTGTCGGAGAGAGTGTTGTAATTGTTAAAAACAGAATTAGATTAGTTGTCTATTGTATTAAAAATAGAATTATATTATTTAAATAAATAAAGAGAAAGTTCAAAGGAACTAAGAAATAAAAAATAAATAAAATAAAAAATAAAAGAATTTTAAAAATGAAAAGAATTCAAAGAAATAAAATATCAGTTTTAAATGAAAAAACTAAACTTAAAAAAACAGAAATGAAATTTAGATTGAAGTACAAAACTGAAATAAATGCTAAATAGAAATATAAAAAAACTAATACAATGATAAAAGGACATGACAAAATCGCTAAAAATGAAAACTGAGAATAAAAAAAATATTCAAATATGTTCAGATTTTGAAAATTGTGTACTGTATTCCAGTTTCAGGATAACTTTCCATAAAATCTAGCTATGATATCAGTTATTCCAATAGGTTTACGGCTAACCAGGTAAGCCACATTCAAATAAAAACATTCAAATCAAGAGGATAAATCAAAGATTTTATAAGCTTTTCTGTGAGCAATGGCTTTCAGCAGGGCCGGATTTACTCATAGGCATTCTAGGCACGTGCCTATGCTTGCTCATGCAGGGGGGGCCCAAACACGATGAAGAGATATATAATATTTTTGTTATACTATGGGCTATCTACAACAGTAAAAGAACCAAAATCCCAGAAGACATTGAGCAAATAAATATAACAAACAATAGGGTAAAAATGACAAACTATTTCCATGTCTTCAACCTTTTTTATGTACGGAAATCACGCTTTCTTTCTCCCAGTCTCTCTCACACACGCACACACATAGACATGCCAATTTGTTTGAATTCTCAAACAAATTAAGAACCTACATTCGATTTTTATTGACTGAACGCAAGTGCTTATTGCGATAGAAAACACTGTAACGGTTTCCACTGATTAAGAAATATTTTTGTTTGCTTGGGTGGTAATATTAGGCCTATTATATTAATAGGGAAGGGGGCCCCAAAAATTATGTCACGAAAAGAGGTAAATCCGGCCCTGGCTTTCAGTCAAATCCGTTCAATTGTAGATGCTCTTCCATGTTTGTAGCCAACATTAATACATATAGTGATGGTTGTTAAGATTGGTTGGATAAGACTTGCTGTGGCCTGTGAATGGAAGAGACAGTAAGATGGTTTGTGGACTTCTTAAACTCTCATGCCCTGGTTCTTATTGTAATTCTTAATGACCAGAAGATATGCCTAATAGAATTTGGTCATATTATATACCATATTTAATTTGATGCCAAGTTTTAAAACCCTTTATTTTAGTTATGTTCACACTGACAGCAATTTGCAACAACTTAAAGTAATTAATCTCCAACGAGAGTTGAATTACTCCAATGATTTCTGAAGACATTGCTGAGAGCCAGCTCAGCTTTCATTCAAATGAGAAGCAATGCAGATTTAATCACTGTCAGTAATTAATGAATAAAGCCGTTTAAGCAGACTGTATTTCCTTCCCTTTCCCTTTTGTTGTATAAAAAAAGTCATACATTACGATTTATAGTTTTTAATGTAAAGTAATTGCTGCTAGCCTCAAATATGGCTGCTTGCCCTGGACTTTCCTCTGTATGTCCTCCTGCTACTAAACCGCACTGTTCTTTCCACCTCCGTATCCCACAAATCCTCTGTCCAGTATGGCTGCTGCTTCTGTGTGGCTGAACCGCGCTTGTGCTTCTGTGTGCTGGTGTCACAGAGCTGCTGATTAATTTACCTAAGTGTAGTTTACACTCGTATATTGGCTTACTGTGTGAATGTCAGGTATAGAAAGGCCTGTTTTGTGCTCTTGGAATCATATTGAAGAATATGTTCCTTTCTAGGCGCAGGCAAAAGTATGAGCACCCCACAGGACTTGTTCCGAAGCTCAGGTAAAGTATTCCTGACGCAAGCATGACTTACACATCGCTCCCTCACGCCTCCGAGCCCAGTGTGAGAGAAATGCCTGGGTTCTGAGAGCTCGAGTATGAATCAAACACAAACTGTATGGGTGAACAGCAGAGCTCGCAGAATTCATTTCTGAATGAGGATTAGTCTAGTTTAAGAAGGGTTATGTAACTGTGGGTCTGCAGGCATCAATATTTAATATGCTGCAATGTTTATTTTTATACTCTGTCCATCTAAGTTCTATAAATATCTCACTTGAGCCTCAAATGACCAGGAATATTACTTTTTAACATAGTACATTTGTTTTCTTAATATAGAAAGGATCAGTATCTGTAGTATAGCGATCTTTATTTTCCTAAATGTTCTGATTGTATTCTATTAGTTTTGTGAAAATTTCATACATCACATATGTAGTTTAAGTCTGTGTGAGACTTTTTAGGGTGTTGTGCAAAAGAGATTTACACTACAGTTCAAAGGTTTGAATTAATACTTTTATTCAGCAAGGATACATTAAAGTTTATAACATGTTATTAATGTTGCAAAATATTTTCTTTAAAAAAGCTGCCCTTTTTACTTTCTATTCATTTTAAAAAATCATGGTTTCCACAAAAATAGTAAGCAGATGTTTTCAACATTGATAATAATAATAAATGGAGCAGCAAATCAGCACATTAGAATGATTTCTGAAGGATCATGTGACACTAAAGACTGGAGTAATGATGATGAAAATTCTACTTTGTCATCACAGGAATAAATAAAATGTTAAAATATATTAAAATTAAAAAATATATTTTAAATTATAATATTTCACAAAAATGTTTTATTTATTTATTTATTTGCAGTATAAGATAAGAAGCTTTTGAACAATAGTTTATTTAAAGATCCAACAGAAAGTAGGTTATTTGAGCCTAAATGGTCAGATTGGATTTGAAGTCTCTTTTGTAGTCATTTGAGAAATATATTGTGTTACTAGCTGTGTCTGAATTCACCAATTAGTGAACTAAGTGGCATTTGCTATGTAGTCACTTACAACAAGTGAGTGAACCATTTCTTTCACAGTATATCCATGAACGTGTAAATACAGTAACCACAATGAGATGCCATGATGAACAAAACCTCCAGTTTCTGTCCTCACTTTCCACTTTCCACTTTGGAAAGTCCTCAGCTCTTGCAGAGGAACGTTTCTTAGCATCATGCTGATGCTTAAGTCGTTACTGTGGCAACCAGTATAGAAACAAGGAGATCCAATTTCAACAGTTCCAATTTGACAGTGCAAACAGTCAGTAATCAAGATCAGTAGACTTGAAAAACAGTTTGTAGTTGGGTGCAGTGTAAACAAAGCATAATTTTTGCTGTCCTGATTGGTGTCTGATTATGTCCATATTGTCCACCCGCACACAGACTTTCCTGACGGACACCGAAAGTTGGCTGTCAGCACACTGTCCCTGGCCAGTGGCACGTCGCCAGCTCGGAGCCCCGTAAACGGTGTAGCCGGAGGTCAGCCGCTGTCCCAGAGAAAGAGGTTGCTCAAAGCGCCTACGCTGGCTGAGCTTGATAGCTCCGACTCGGATGTGAGTGGGTTTTATATCTTCTATATTGCAAAAACCCTGCCGAAATATTCAAAAAGACAAAATACGATTGTTAACCGTCTCTTTTTCCTACTGTAGGAGGAACAAAACACTCGGACGTCTGACAGCAGCTCCAGCGTATCCGCCTCTCTGGTTGAGGACACGTCTCCAGAGTCCGTCATGGCCAAAAAAAGTAAGACCCGTCTTGAAATATCCAGAACTTTTTATTCAGTCCAATGAAAACCTGTCACTGACTGACAGTTCTTCTTCACCTCAATTTTTGTCTTCCACTTTGTCTTTTCCCAGCTCCTCCGCAGTTCCTGCCCATATCTTCTACCCCTCAACCTGACAAACGCATCGCTCCACAGAGGAGGCACTCCATAGAGAAAGAAGATCCCACCAGCGTACGGCCTTTCCTGCCTCCGTCTCGCCAGAACTCCAAATCTCTGGTAACTGCAACAAAACCTTCCTTTAGCTCCATGCTTCTGCCTACAAAGTTGTTTTTCCTTGTTGAACAAATCCCGGGACAGTAAATGAGGGTAATTTAGTGTTGGGCGGTCAATTGGCTGCAGGCTGTGGTCACACTTAACTGTCCTGAGTCTTGTGAAGGTATAATTAGATTCTCAGGATTCTGTCTAGTGCTGCAGCACTGCAGGTCTTTAGTGTGGAGAGAGAGAGAGAGGGAAATAAAGAAGAACTTGTGCTTTCATTTTCAATTCAGAAGCCTAATCAAAGGCTAATCTATGGCATACAGCAGTTTTTAATGTCATTCACATTCACACATTGACGATACAAGGAAACATTTTCAGTGAATAATGACTCGAATATCTTAAAAGAAGGGCAGTCTTGATAGATTACAGCTTGTTTTTGACTAAATCTTACATGAAGCTTCATTTATGAAGAACAGACTACTTCCGATTTAGACTGTATTTGGTCTTGCCTAAAAGGACTGTAACTGATCAATGTTGATTGCAAAACCTCTGAGGTCTTTGAACGGTTGTAAATGTAATAATCACAGAGCTCTTACAGGACAATTATTCTTAAACATTTCTAGATAGCGAGCGATACTGTAGTTTTATTGCAGTATAGATAGAGAGCTGTAACCGCTCTGCTTTCCTTGCCTGCCTTACACTGAAGCTCTCTTCGGACAACAAGGTAAAGCACACCATATTCCACATTCTCATGCCCACAGATTCTGGTACATTATGTTGGAGGAGTCATTTCATCACTATTTCGTCTGCAGTGGCTTTATCGGTCTTCCAGCAGGGCGGTTGCTTCATGTGTGTGTTGCACAATGTTGCATGGCCAGTAGGGAAAGCTGCTGAAGGAAATGGCCCACACTTAAATCACTTCAGTTACCCGTCATCAGAATGGTTTATGATCGAACGGAAAAACAGCTTCGCTCAACAAACTTCCTCCTTTTGAATCATGCACAAGTTATGTGCATCATTCAAACAATGCTAGATTTAGATAAGTAAGATTTAGATAAGAAGGTTTAATAAGTACGGAATAGTGCAGAGATAGCAGGTCAAATTTGCTAAATAATAATCATAATAAATAGTTATTATATTATATTTATTATATTATATTTAGTGCTGTCAAACGATTAATCGCATCCAAAATAAGTTTTTCTTTACATAATATGTGTGTGTGTGTGTGTGTGTGTTTATTATGTATATATAAATACACACACACGTGCATGTATACATTTAAGAAAAATGTTATATTTCTATATTAAATATATTTATGTATATGTAAATATATGTAATGTAAATATTTTCAAAATATATTCTGTATGTGTGTGTATTTATATATACATAATAAATATACACAGTACACACATATATTATGTAAAGAAAAACTTATTTTGGATGCGATTAATCGTTTGACAGCACTAATTATATTATATTATATTATATCAGTATTATATCAGAAATATCAGTGAAGAGTGATGCCTCATTTTCTTTTTCTTTCTTTTTTAAATTTATAATTTATCAATTCAATTAAAGATGTCCTGTCTGCTTTTTTAAAATAGTTTTTTTCTGAGCTTTGTCATTTTTTTAAATTAAATTTTTTTTTAAATATTGGCTTAGTGTTTGTTATATTTAGATAATATCTAAATCGTCGGTCATATTATATTATTTTATTTTAGATTAGATCAGATCATATTATATTTGTATTTGAAATACCAATGGAGAATGATGCCTCATATTTTTTTTTATTATTATTTATCATCAATACAATTAAAGCTATTCCTTGCTTTTTAAAAATAATTTTCAGTGAACTTTTTCCTTTTTCTGGTTTCTTTTTTAATACTATCTTAGACTTTTTGTCCCTTTAGAATATTTTTTACAGCATTTATTTAACATTTACTTATTTGTATAACATTTAGGGAGTATCAGTGACACTTTTTGTTTTTGTAAATGAAACTATACAGCAGTTATTTTCCAACAAATGCCAAAAAAAAAAACCCAATGTTGTTTTCTTTGGTCAGGCTCACGCACTAGGCAGCGGTCGTGCGGTACGTCCCATCAAACTACATATTACTGATACTAACACTGGGTGACAAGGGGCATAAAAGCCAATATGAGTCTCTTATTCTGTAGTTCACAAGACATGATGTGTCTTTTTAATAATAGTTAAGGTGCTTGAAGGTAAGAATTAGAGAAGTATTGGCTTTTATATGTGCTTGAATCAGTGTGACCTTTAAAGTTGGGTAAGGACTAGTCCTGGGGCGCCGTGCATTGTTTTAGCACAGAGCATGAACATTTCTACTCATCCTTATATGCAAATTTTGCCTGACCTATAGAGGTGAAACTTGCATAACGACATAAACAGACAGTTTACCATTCCTCATTAATGAATTAAATGTTCAGCTCTGTCTCCATTGCCATTGTGTTGTGGGTTCTGTTGTGTGTTTTGTTTGGCAGAAGGTGTAACCATTATCGCGATCTAGCATGTAATGGTTTTTCCATCCCTCATTCTCGGGTGTGACAGCATGGCATGTTTAAATATGCAGTGTATACTTGGCATGTTTGTGAAAGTGATATGTTGGTTTCAGGAGGAGTTCTGCTACCCTGTCGAGTGCCTGACTTTGACCGTAGAGGAGGTGATGCATATCAGACAGGTTCTTGTTAAAGCAGAGCTGGAGAAGTTCCAGCAGTATAAAGACGTCTATAATGCGCTAAAGAAAGGAAAGGTAAATGTACTCTTCACATTCATTGCCCACTCTACATGTATAGCACTATATACATTAGCCCAAGCTTATGTTTTGGGATTGTCTTCTTGTTTGGAGCACATGATGCTGTCTATATAAGCAGCTCACTAGGTTTTGAACATGCTAGGTGTGTAAGCAAGTGTTTGATTGTGTAACCCTTCCTCTCAGCTTTGCTTCTCATGTCGGACGAAGAAGTTCTCGCTCTTCACCTGGTCCTACACCTGCCAGTTCTGTAAGAGGTGGGTGGAGATTCTCATTTCAGACTTGAAATGAAGAAAGTAAAGTGATGTGCAGTGGAATCATATTTTTTCTTCTTTTCTTCTCACAGGCCTGTTTGTTCACAGTGCTGTAAGAAGGTAAATGTTACGTCCTTACCTTATGTTCACCAAGGCTGTATTTATTTGATCAAAAATACAGTAAAACAGTAAATAATATTACAATTTAAAGTACATGTTTTGTATTTGAATCGGTTTTAAAATGTAATTTATTCCTGTGATGCAAAGCAGAATTTTCAGCAGAATTTCTCCAGTATTCAGTCACATGATCCTTCAGAATTATATTGAAACATATTATCAATGTTGAATTTTTTTTTGATGAATAAAAACAGCTTTTATTTGAAATAGAAAGAAATCTTTTGTAACACTTTAAACACTGACTTTTGATCAATTTAATGCTTCCTTGCTTAATAAAAGTATTAATTTCTTATTGACCCCAGACGTTTGAACAGTAGTGTGCTTTTTTCACTTTGCTAATGACCTCATGCCCTCTCATCTCAGATGAAGTTGCCCTCCAAGCCCCATGCCAGCCTGCCCATCTCCTCTCTGGGCCCCAGCATCCTGCCCAAAAAGGAGTCTGCAGCGTCAGCCGCGACAGAGAAGCCCTCCTCCACATCCAGCCACAAGCGTCACAGCCTTCAGCGCACAATGTCCAGGTGAGCTTCACAAATGATGAGAGAGTCTGTATCGTTTGTACCAGGATTCATAAGGGAGATGCAGAGGGTTTGAGAGCATTAAAACAAGCATTAACATTAAAATAAACAAATGGGACTGTTTGTGAGAATGTAGTGTCATTTTCACATTCATATAATTTCCAACATTTTGGTGGACCAAAGTCTACAACATTTCACCAGAATTGCGCCAGAATAAAAGCTTGAATTTGAAATGTTAAAAGCTCAATTGTTTGAGCCAGTGTTATTTTGCTATCATTGAGATACTATACAGCATTTTATAATTTGAATCCGTTTTTATTTTTGTATTTTCTGTTTTCATTTTAATTTGAGTAATTTTGTGTGTTTGTCATTTTTATTAGTTTTTAAAAATATGTCTGATTTCTTTATTTCCATTTTAGTTGTAGCTATTTTAGTACATCAGAATAAACGAAATAAAAAAGAGCAAGATTGCTTTGGCAACTATTTAAATAACATATTATATTACAATATTTATTATAAAACATTTCATTTCAGTTAACTTTATTTTAAAATAATAAAAATGTTTTTATCATGCTTTTAGTTTTAGTTAACTATGATAACCCTGGTGTGAATGTTTGAAAGCGAAAAATTTAGGACATACATATTAGTATTATAACTTGTAGTGTAAAATTAAAATTTTATTACATTTTCTTTATTTTACACTACAATTGTAATTCACAGCGACAATGTTTCTGTCTTAATTTTTTTGAATTAGAGGTAAAACATTATTAGTATTATTATATTACATTATATTATATATTAAATTTAATTGGGTACCTAAAACACAAGAATATAATGTAGACCGAAACACAACTAAAAAGAGGATTGAGGTCACTTTAAAGTTCAGATACAAAGTTAAATGTTTATCATATCACAGTTGATATATGACAAAATAATCAAGTCATGCAGCCCTTTATATAAATAAAACTCAAATAAACAATCAAATAAAACCCTTACTAAAAGTTTTACTCTCATTACTTGTTTTTACTTTACTTGCATCAGAGAACCGTAAACATGTAATTGTGTCATTTAAATGATTGAAATATTTAATACTTCAAATCAAATTGGGTTCTAAAGGGTTCAGCTGACAAAACAGTTTGTGAACTCTTGATCTGTAGCGTGGTAATGGCTGCCAGGAAGATAATTTCTTGTGACGATTCCTCTCTCAGATCATCAAAGCACGCTGAGCGCTCGTCCTCCAAAGATGGGCTGGAGCTGCCGGAGCAGTTCACAGAGGACTGGAGCAGCATGGAGGTCTGCGTGGACTGCAAGAAGTTCATCAATGACATAATCAGCAACAGCAGGCGCAACCTGACCACCAAACGTGCCCGGCTGCACCGCAGGACCCACTCCGTCTACATGTCCAACACCAGCTCTTCCAACTACAAACCCTCAGAACGAACTATCAAAGAGGTTTAGGATGTTACATACTGTATGAAAAATACGCCCACTTTTGTTAGCTTTGTAACGTTCCTTCAATACCACTTCTTTTCCATTTAAAAAGTGCCAGAGGTGAAGGAATAAAGCCGTCCCTCTTCCAGCATGAGTCCTTAAGCACCAGCCTTCTCAGGAAAAGGTTTCTTCTGTGATTAAAGCTTTGGAATGTAGTTTAACACACTTTAAATTGACTTTGACCAGACTTTTCTCAAATGAACACAGAATGAAATGACAGTGTGATAAAAGATATCGCAAGGCTGCTTTGATCACTGAAAGACACAAGGCCTGAATGTACATTTTTCAATGGAGCTCAATTGTATGTGAATAGTTGCTGAATGCTCAGCCTAAATGTAAATAGGCATCCAAACTGACTTATTTTCCCCTTTTACGAAGTACTAGTCGATTGCTGAAAGACCAAGAGACTGTAGATTTATTCAGCCTCCGCAACAATTCAAGATCAAGTCTTACCAAATGTTTTTCTGATTGTTTGTTAAAATTGCTGCTGTGATTGTGACGTGATCCAAACGAATGCCGCTTTAGATAATTACAGAAAGTACTTACAGATAAATATATTTTTCCTGTCTGATGGCAGTGTTTTTGAGATTTTAGTCAAAGATGAAGGTCAAGAAGTGTTTTTTAAGAGCGGATGCTGAAAGCTGTAGTGTTTCTTAAAGTAGTGATCGGCTGTGCCAAACAAATCTCCACTATCTGAGCAATATGTGTCTTGGACCTGATGTACATAGTCAATAACATTTACCGGAGATGGTGACGGCCCAAAGGGGGGAAGCCAGTTCTCTCTTTTATATAGGAAGTGACTTTTGTAGGATATGTTTATGTACATGCTGTATATCCGAATCTCATCTGATCCACTTATCTATTAAAATAGGCTCTATTGTTATAAAGTGCTGATTTATATGATTAATAATGATTATTTTATTTTTCAGTGTCAAATGTTGCTTTCTTTTCATGTTCACTCAACAACTACAAATATTTTGTTATTTTTCAGCTGCACATTTATTTTGACGTCTTAAAACTTTGTAAATTAATTTATAATATATTATTAATTACCGTTCTGTGCAATGAAACACCCCAGGAGACTTTAAATATGAAGGTACTGAAGTCGTGTCAGGGTTTTTGGAAGGATTGTTTCTGTTTGTCCTTAAATTAAAAGAAAATACACACACACTTGGTATATGGTATACAGGCCTGTTCTTTTGTTTTGTGCAAAACTGACTGTACTGCCTTCCTCTGAAGAATGATTGGTGTGCATGATGAAATCTATGATTTTAAAAAAAAAATAAGAACTGAATTGCCAATAAATAAAGCATCAAATTTGAATATTTGAAATTGAATTTGATTTTATTTCACACTCCTCATCAGAACTGCATTGATATGCCAATGAAGAATTTTGTGCTTGCATTTATCTCATATGATGAAGATAACATTACTATGATGTATTAAAACATTTAAATTAGATACCCCAATGGAGCCATAAAAAAAGGCCTATCATCTGTGAGGATGTTAAGGACACCGGCAATTTAACATTATTTGCAAATGATATGAGATGTATTTAAGCTTCAAAACAATGCAAACTTCTCTACATATTCATGCCTTAACATGTAGCCTTTAATAATAGCCACATAATGTTTTTGTGACAAACTTATGGAGGAATAGACCAGGTTATACAGTGCGTTTAATGGATTGTACTGTTATTTAACAACAGATAGATTATTCAGATGACAAAAGTTTTAAATTTTAAATTGTGAGCTTTGAAATTTACGTAATCTAGTACTTTGATATAGTGTCATTGTAAAGACTAGTCTATCCCTCATAATCTCGTTTTTACCCGCGTTAAATTCAATATGGCGTCTAACCTGAGGCCTGTTGTATGGTTTCTAGGGTCTTTGGACGTTTGGCTTTGAAAAAAACTAAACTAAAGATTTCTGCTTATGATTTTGACATTTGACTGTCTAAATAGAGGTGAATGCTTGTCCCAAACTAGTGGGAAAGAGACAGAACTGCAATTCTCCACTAGAGGGCAGAAAAACATCACTTTCAACAGCTGACTAAAACTTCTGGCAAATTCCACATTTCTTAAACGGTTATGTATCATTTATATTTACATTTATTCATTTAGCAGACGCTTTTATCCAATGCGACTTACAATTGGGAATACATCAAGCGATTCATCTTAAAGAGGCAAATAGACACAGGAAGTGCTCGTGATACCAAGTTTCAAGCGTTGTTCAAATAAGTACAAGCTAGACAGGGAAAGATTAAAGAAAGGAAAAAACAAAGGGGTTATTTTTTTTTTTTTAGGATGAAGTCAAATAGTGACGAAAGAGATTAATTTTCATCTGTCGCTTGAAAATTGTCAGGGAATCAGCATTCCGGATAGGGTTTGGAAGATCATTCCACCAGCCAGCCAGCCATGTATCATACATAATCGCTCTGTAATGTTAATAAAAATCGTGTTAGTAATTAAAAATCTCTCGTTCCTTCTAAAAAAAAAGTAATTTTGAACAAAATAAATAATTATTAGTATAGTACATGTTTTTTTCTGCACATGTTGTGTGTGGTAAACTTTGTTCAGTTGAAGATTCTGTTAGGTCATCCCGGCCCAGGAGGACAGATTTGATATCATTACGTCATCGCGAATGACGTCAGTACGTTAGGGCGTAAAATAACAGATGAACCGGTTTTTTTAACCGGTTTATTGAAACGAACTGTCCGAAAGAACCGGTTCGCGGAAAAGAACCGGACTTCCCATCACTATGACAAACTGCTTCATTGTGCACTTTGACCCTGCTTGTGGCTCCTTTTCCATTACATGAGCAGAACATGGTGGTTATTGTAAAATGTTTGTGAAAAATTTAGTAAAATTATTAGTTTATTTATAAAATACTGATTTTTATGAGCTGTTTTCGTTCATTTCAGATATGCATAGCAATACCCATGACATTCAGATCAGAAATACAATTGCACAACAACGTAATATGTCCAAAATACAGTGCATAATTACTTAAAGTCTCAATATTTTACTTTTGATTTTTCTACTTCAGTTTAAAAAACACCACTTATCAATAAACTTCTGAAGACTTTTTTCAAAAGGCCTAATTACATAGATCATGCCGACTTATTTGCAAACAAACACATTCCCGCTGAGGTTCAGCTGAAATGGTTCAGCTTAATGGGTTTGAGTCTATGAGAGTGGACTGTATACTGAGATGATAGTGGCAAAACAAGCCTGTCCTGCAGTCTGATTGGTGGTTCCCATGACAACAGTTGTCAGAGGCTATCTAAGCTTGAGGGGTGTACTTTCTATCTAAAAGCTTGGGGCTAAAGTTAGTGGTGAGTTTTAGCTCCAGACCAGCTGTGCTTCCGATTATGCTGCCTCTCCCGCGGTCAGGCCCCTTTGTTATGCTCAGTATGTAGGCTAGTTGTTTACTTCTTGTTGCGTCCTGAAATGACAAAGTGCAGTGAAAACTAAGCTGAATCGATCCGTTTTAGAAATGAATAGCTTAGAAACCCTTCAATATTTCTTTCATTCAGTAGTGCAATTCAATAGAAAAACAGAGATGTCTTATATACCTCATTTTTGGTTTAATCATGAAAGGTAAGGTCAGCAGGCACAAAGTAAACCGTTTCCAAGCAGCATTAAATACTAGGAGGCAATGGACATCTTGACTGAATGTATCTTAAGTGATGTCAAGGCTCTTCAAGCCCATATTTTTTATTTGATAATGGAGTTTGTGGACAAGAAAACCTCTTCAAACCATAAGCAAGTGCACTTTGAGATCAACATAATGCAGCAAACACAAATCATTGCTAACAAGCACTTCCTGTTTCTGATTGGTGGTTCCCATGACAACAGTTGTCAGAGGCTATCTAAGCTTGAGGGGTGTACTTTCTATCTAAAAGCTTGGGGCTAAAGTTAGTGGTGAGTTTTAGCTCCAGACCAGCTGTGCTTCCGATTATGCTGCCTCTCCCGCGGTCAGGCCCCTTTGTTATGCTCAGTATGTAGGCTAGTTGTTTACTTCTTGTTGCGTCCTGAAATGACAAAGTGCAGTGAAAACTAAGCTGAATCGATCCGTTTTAGAAATGAATAGCTTAGAAACCCTTCAATATTTCTTTCATTCAGTAGTGCAATTCAATAGAAAAACAGAGATGTCTTATATACCTCATTTTTGGTTTAATCATGAAAGGTAAGGTCAGCAGGCACAAAGTAAACCGTTTCCAAGCAGCATTAAATACTAGGAGGCAATGGACATCTTGACTGAATGTATCTTAAGTGATGTCAAGGCTCTTCAAGCCCATATTTTTTATTTGATAATGGAGTTTGTGGACAAGAAAACCTCTTCAAACCATAAGCAAGTGCACTTTGAGATCAACATAATGCAGCAAACACAAATCATTGCTAACAAGCACTTCCTGTTCTTTCAGAAGTCATGATTTCATTTTTATCATCAAAGCTTTTTTGCTACAAAGGGGAAATAAGAAATAAAATACATGGCCAAAAGTATGTGGACACCACAGTTCATTCATTTACCTGTGTGTGTTTGTGTACACTGTGTTCCTATTTATTATGTTTGATGATCTCTATTCAGTTTTCTTAAAATATTAATTGTCTTTATGCCTTTTGCAAGACATTCATGCTTTTCATCTTCAGAAATATCTTCCTTGCATGAGAACTGTGACTTACTTAGGGTTTTTCATTTAGCCTAAGAAGAACTGACAAGCTATTTAACAAACCTGTCTGAGATTGATACCAGTTATCTAAAAAAAAAGTGAAATAAAACAAACTAAAATCTGTTTATTATTAATAATAATAATAATGTTTATTTTATTGAAATCCTACTGATATGTAACTTACATAATATGGAACACAGTGTATGCATGTATATGTATCTATTAGTTGTTATTATAATTATATATAGCCTAGTCACCTAGTTTATTTTGTCCATTGACCAAGTTTTATTACAGATATATATAGCCTACCTTTTTGTCATCAGACAAAAAATAAATAAAATAATATAAAATAAATCAAGCAATATATTTTGGTCATGGAAAAGGCTAAGAAGGCAATTGTCAACTAGCAGCTTCAGGTAAAAATGAAACAATTTTAATTAATCACATTTAATTATAGTTTAGTTCAGTATTAAGTTTGAATCAGTTTGTGAAAATGACATAGATCTGGATCACAGACATAACCCGTTTAGTGTACGGATTAATTGTGTATTAATTTTCACAGACTGTAATGTTGTATTTCTCCCATAATTAACCCAGTAATTAGTTTTTAAAATATACAGTAGTCAACATTTGAAGTGGATCAAAAAAGTTAATCAAAGTTGTCCTAAGATAAGAACCACTGATCTATAATGACTTCTAATGAATGTTCTCTATTATAGATCAGTGATAAGAACACATTTTGGTTTTAGGTTTTAGGACAACTTTGATGAAAGGTTTTGATCCTCTTCAAATGTTGACTAGTGTATTTTTAAAAAGATTTTTTAATATATGATAAAAATTCATAACTATACTTTGTGTTATATGGCCCTCATGATACAAAAACTAAGCACTGCTGCAAGGGGCTTTCTAAAGTTGTAAAGTTAATTGTTGAAACATGGTAGTTTATTGGTCCTCAAGCAGGACCTAGAAAACCTATAGGCCAGTGCTTTTGAACCCTGGTCCTGGTTGTGGCTTAAAGGGATATAGCTGCAGCTGGAAAGTAAGAATAAAATTAATTTGCTACCTATTAGATTGTGTTTCATTAACTTCTACACCTACCCCAACCCTAAACCTACCCCTTACAATAATACAAATACAGTAATTATTGTTGTTCAGGCATGACAAAAATTACACAATATTAATGTGCGCATGCCCAGTAGCCGCAGCTGTATCCCATCTAGCCTTAACCCCTGGTCCTTGGGAGCCACCACTCTGCCGATATTAGCTGTGTCTCATTTAGAAGGCTGCGCCCTCCGGAGGTCGAATCCTCTGGAGGTCGCATCCTCTGTAGGATGCATATACGAAGTGTCCTCAACCAAGAATTAAACGAGACGGCCTTCGTAGGACAGGCGGAAAAGGAAACGGGAAGTATCACGTTGTTATGCCAACACATTTAGAGCATCGTTGCGCTCTCACACTACTTAAATGAAGGAAAATTATTTCTAAATTTGGAAAGTAATTTGAAAAAAAAAATGCTTTTACCTGTTTTATTTTGTTCAATGTTTGAGGAGCTGCAGCATACGTACAGCAGACATCTGTTAAAGAAAAAAAGGAGGAGG